ATCAACCTAATACATGAAAAGATTCTACAAAAGATTAAAACAATCTAAAAGATACACTTTGAATCAATAAAAGTAAAAAAAAAAAATTGAATAGACAAAAAAATGTTCCTTTTCTTTTGTCGTCAGACAAAAACACAGTTCAAACTAATGTGACATATATATTCAAGGGAAATTTTTTTTTTTTAGACCAAAATAATTAGTACATTATCCCTTTAGGCTAATTGCATTATGTAGTTGTCCTATTATGTTAAATATTCTCTAAATGGTAATAATACCCTTAAATTTAGTTTACTTATTCCAATTAGAAAATAATAATTATAAAAAAATTAAAAATTGTAAAAAATAAACTTTAGATTTAATAAAAAATAAATTCGAAATTAAAAAAAAAATCAAATATTTTATTCCCAAATTTTTGAAATACCAAATAATTTAAAAATATATACATATACCACATATTTTTAAAAACATATTTACAAATATTAAAAAAATAAATTCGAGATTAAAAAATATTTCCAAATTTCAAAATAAATAAAAACTAATTCGAATAAAAAAAATTTCGAATATGTTTAAGAACTAAATCGACTTAAAAAAATATTTCAAAATTTCCAAATAAATAAAAACTAAATCGAAATAATCAAATTTCCCAAAAAAAAATATTTTAAAAACTACTTCGAAATTAATAAAAAATCGAAATAATTTATTCTCAAATTTTCGAAATTTCAACATTTTTTAAAAAAAAAACTATATTTCCACATATTTTTATAACTATTTGCAAATATATTTAACTAGGTGATTTTCCCGTGCTCATGCACGGGCATGAATATTTATAAAATAAATATACAATAATAATTGATTGATATTTACTTTAATTTTAAAATTAATTTATAGTTTGTATGTCTAATTTATATTATAATACTATATTACTTTAATTATATATATAATTTTAGATATGTTATATTTAGTATATTTTATTGTTTTTACGGTCGATTTAGTTATCATTTAGATATATTGGATTCTATCTATTTCTCTGAATTCAACTATAATCTTTTATATTTTAAATATATTAAATTTTTGGATTAATTGTATTATTTGAATTTATGCTGGTTGTTATCTTAGATATATAAGTATATTTACTAAGATTATATATAACTTAAGATTTTTTGTGCTTAGAAGGAAAAAAATAAAAACTAAAGTGTTTGATTCTAAATTACATACATAAGTAACTAATGAATTTTTAGAAGCTTATGAACACATATCAATATTTACAATAATTAAATATTTTATAAATTCTAAATAAATTTATGCTTTAGATTGATTAGATGGTAAAACTGAAATTTATTTTAACTAATTTTAAAAATAAGGATTCTGATTTGGTTAAGTATTTTGACTATGGTTATATTAAGTTATTTTTTGTTTTTATGTTTGTGAAACTTAATATAACCATAATAAAAATACTTCAGTAAATTAGAATTTTTTTTCTTAAAACAGATAATTTTAACTATTAAATATAATATATCTACCTCGTTAAATTATATAGTGTTATGATATTTTAAATAATTGTAGTTACTTGATCAAAAGATGTTTATTATTAAATTTATTTTTAGTTCTATTTTTAATATCTCTTAAAATAGTTAGTAAAAATGATTTTTTGAGAAATTATACTATACAAGTAAAATTTATATGTTTACTGTAATTGTAAGATATTATAGTCAAATAAATATACTAAAAATAATTTCAATAATACTAATTATAAATAAATGTCAATTAAACATATATCAGTTTATGTTAGTTGATTATTTTATGTAATCATCTAATAAAATAGATAGATATATACAAAATAATATTTTGAATATATATATATTTTATTGTTTAAAATTATTTTTTTAATTAAAAAATATTTCTTTTTCTAATAGCAATATATTTGTGTGAAAGTTTTTTATGAAATCACATTATATACAGATATTATTTTTTTATCTGAGAAGATATAGATATAAAGTTTTTTATTACTTCAAAGGTATATATTATGTTATTTAAAATATATTTAAATTAAATATTACTATTTGTGAACTTTATTTTTTTAATTAAACCATATTATATACTTATATTTTCGTTTTTAAATAGTTTTGTAAATTTGATAAATGTTTCCTTTTTATTTTATATTTTTATTTGGAAATTTAAAAAAAATAAATAATATTTAATTGTATTTTTAATTCATTAGGTGTATCATAGTAATTAACCAGCGTGAGAGTTAACTTGAGTGTGACACCTAAGAAACTGACTTCTTAAATAATATTTCTTTTTCTCATAGCAATATTTTTGTGCGAATTTTTTTATTTATGAAATCACATTATATACAGATATTTTTTTTTATCTGAGAAGATATAGATATAAAGTATTTTATTACTTTAAAGGTATATTTTATGTTATTTAAAATATATTTAAATTAAATATTACTATTTTGTGAACTTTCCTTTTTTATTAAACCTTATTATGTACTTATATTTTCGTTTTTAAATAGTTTTGTAAAATTGATAAATGTTTCCTTTTTATTTTATATTGTTATTTGGAAATTTTGAAAAAATAAATAATATTTAATTGTATTTTTAATTCATTAAGGGTATCATAGTAATCAACCAGTATGAAAGTTAACGTGAGTGCGACACCTAAGAAAGTGACTTCTCAAATAATATTATAGAGATATATATATATATATATATATCTGAATTTTTATTTTGAAAATATTTGGAAATATGTTTTTGAAAATATTTGGAAATATTTATTAGTTCGAAATTTGAATTAGAAAATAAATATTATATTTTTTGAAAAATCCAATTTTAATATATGATAACTGATTATTTCCAAATATTTTATTCCCAATTTTTTACAACTGATTGTTTTTATCCGTAAAATATGTATTCCACTATATGTATAACGCAGTAAGAATTTTTGAAATCAATTTCAAAAAGAAAAGAAGTAATTTTTAGATTCTAATATTTATTGATTTAAGAGGGAAAGGTTAAGTGAACAATATGTATTCCAAATAGTTTTAGATTATTATTATTTACTTTGAACATAGTAGATTTTATGAAAAAATTGGATTTCATATTCTACTTCGTAGAATGCCAATTATAATATTTTTAGAACAAAAATGAAATTATGATTTAAACATTTTTTAAAAAATGGGAAAAATACTCTAAATTGATATAAGTATTTCATCATTAGTTACTATTTTTTGAATTTTTGTTTGTTCATAAAACTAATTATTTGATTAATTTCTGAAAATAGTTAAAGGCATTATAGTCAAAAATGGTACAAAATATAAATTAACCTAAAGAGACAATGTCTTAGTTGTTTTGGCCTAAAAAACAATTTTCCCTATATTCCGAAAAACCCAGAAATATTAATTCAAATTTTGACATCCATTTATATTTACATATTTGTATACCCATTAGTTTTAATATAGTACTAGTGTTTTAATATATGTGGCTTCAATATTTTTATCTTAAAAAATTAAATTGTTTTTATGTTAAAAATTGTTAGTCTAACACTATTTTTTTATATATATACAAGAAACATTATAATTTTTATTATCTTGATAATTATAACATTGCGTCAAAATGATAGAGAATTTGGTGTTATTTAGCAGTAAGGAGACATTGGTGTTATTTAGCAATAAAAATGATTGTAGTTAGTTGTTGCTAAATAGAACAACTGTAGCAACCACTTTATCTCTAGCCAAAGCATAGCTATTTAGCNTATATATATACAAGAAACATTATAATTTTTATTATCTTGATAATTATAACATTGCGTCAAAATGATAGAGAATTTGGTGTTATTTAGCAGTAAGGAGACATTGGTGTTATTTAGCAATAAAAATGATTGTAGTTAGTTGTTGCTAAATAGAACAACTGTAGCAACCACTTTATCTCTAGCCAAAGCATAGCTATTTAGCTACGGATCACCAACAAAATTGTCTCTAGCTATATAGCTATAGATTGCAACAACTAGCTACAAAGTTGAAGTTATATGTTCTATTGCTACATCTATGGCTAATAATACTAGCTACGAAAATGTCTTTACCATTCCGTAGCTATTTCAATGAATTCTTGTAGTGTTGATGCAGTCGTGCCTAGTCACTTAAGAAACAATCAAACCAAAACAAACAGTTTCACATTGACATTTGAGGGAATGTAAAGACAATTTGAGGGAAGATAATCATAAAACAAACATTTTATATATAACTTGTGCACACACAAAAATGTATAATTTCTCGACACTTGCCATATCAAACTTCAAATGGATAATTGTTCTTTAGAAATCAAAACATAGTGTACTTTTTATAATTGAAAGCCATATCAAACTTCAAATGGATAATTATTCTTTAGAAATCAAAACAATGTGTACTTTTCATAATTGAAGTATACCATAAAGATGGTGCGTTGTGGGAGCACGATTTTTTTTTTCTTTTTAAACCTCAACCATTTCAAACTACATTTTCAACTTTTCTAGATTTACAGGACTACTTCAGCACCAAACTCATCTATAAATTCATCTCATTGTCTTATATGTTCCTTACCTCTCAACTAAAACCATACTAAAAAGCACTTCTCTAATTCCGGGTACCATTTCAAATATATGACAATGAAGAGTCTCTCCTTTCTTGCAGTTCTATCTCTTTTGGCTTTAACACTTCCATTAGTCATTTCCTCTGACCCAAGCCCCGTTCAAGACTTTTGTGTTGGCGTCAACACCCCAGCAAATGGTGGTATGTACATGGAGATTTCCTAGTAGCTTTTCCTTTCATTTTATCATTCATTTATCATTTCTTACTCTCTTTTTTTGTTACTATTATCAGT